ATTTGAACACAAACTTTGTTCGATATTTTCTTCAAATAAAATAGTCCTGAGTGTAGATCAAGGCAAGACTGTAGGTTACAAGTATTATATTGAAAATTGTCTGAAACCTTTGGTATACGTAATATGAAAACAAAAAAGGGCATCAGGTGCAAAATGTACAAAACTGCTTGACGGTCACGTTGACTTCATATTCATCCGATGTTATTAATTATTTGACAGAAGAAGACATCAATATAATGTCGCAGCAGTCATATTCGTCATGCCTAATACTCCCTGATCTTTGGTTAAGTAATCGTATCGAATGAAGTTTAATTGATTAAATAAATGAAATATTATGTACTCATGCGATTTCCAAAGTAGCCAAATTTTTTTCGAAAAAGAGCTGAAAAAAACTTTAAATAAATGATTAGAAACGATTGAACTTGATATAAATAATCATAACAGCTATCATCAACATTTGATAAAATTTAATTAAAAATATTTCCTTTTCTTTATATTTTTATTTAATGTTGCCAGAACTTTTGACGAACCCTAAGTACTTATTACAGATTAAATTCAGAAACCTAATTAGAATATCCTTTCAGTATATCCAATTCACTAGTCAATATAATCAGAGATGTTATCTTTTAGTATAACTCTTTAACTATTATTGATGTAATATTAGGTCAAAGCAATCTTCATGGAGAAATAAAGACTACAGTCCCTCAATCTTACTGTGTTTAACAGTACAACAAACCCAAAACTGTGGAATTTTGTATTATTTGCTTTACATTTAAGATTAGATTTGGTTTCAAATAACCAAGCCACAAAGGATTTGGTAAGATAAGGTGACATTGTCGACAACCTACTTTACTAGAGAGATACGGCACAACCAGAAAATGATTTAAGAATTTGGGATCAAATGCTTAGGATTGGGATTTGGGCTTGATATTGGACAAAAATAATATGAATAGTTTGCGCTTCGATAATTGTCACCAAGTTCCAAACTATTCATGTGGATTCGGTCTAAAAGTAAATTCAAACCTAAGTTCCAAAAATAAATTAAATCTCAAAGTCTATACTCCTAAATCTATTCCAGATTTGCTGCATGCCTAGATATGTTCATGGTACTTTGTATCGATTCTACCATACTTTACTGATTGTGATTCTCTCTAGCGTTTCTGATATTTTACATCAGTTATCGTTCTCTGTCTCAAGGATAGCATTTTTACGTTCAATATAGCTTTGCTTCTTGAACATCATTCGTGAACTGCCAGTTGTTTCTCAATTTATTTTACTATTTTTGTTCGTTTTCAGAGAACAGTGAGACATATAAGTATGTGATAAATTATACATACATAAAAAAACAATGCAGATCTTCTGAAAAGTTCTAGGTGCAAAGATTCTTGTCAATTGTAACAAAAGACTTTTGTTTTCGAACACATTATTTTTAAATTGAATTGTTTTCAATTTACTATTGTAGTATTATTACTATATAGTGTATCAGAGCTAGGACAAACACAACTAAAGCAAATAAAAGCATTTTACTTGTACTGTAAAAAATGTACTTGTACTTTAAAATTATACTCAATAAAACTTCTCATACAAGGTCTAAGATTGATTATTTATCACATCTTTGCTTTCGATAATCTCTATAACATGATAGTTTTGGTTTGCTCTCAACAAAAAATTTATTCTACATATTCAAGGTTGAAGTAAGTGCTAAATCAATAGTGATTAACATTTACATTTGCTATACTTTGTCACATAATAACTGGATTAATAATATTGTTTGCAATTTAACCGACGCTACTCACAGACCTGCATATCTATTGCTTGTTGAGGATGATTGTTGAAATCACCACAGAATAAAACCAATTTTAAAATGTCATGACTCATCTTTGATATATGCAAGAATTAAAAAGATTAATACTTTCAGTTGGTGATAAAAGTTCAACATGTTGACATGGAGACACCATTTTTTTAATGAATACAATGGAATATTGTGTGTATAAAACGAAGATACGATGATTGTTTTCAACTTTATTTATTAACATGCAAGTGAAAAAAATCTACGTGGTACTAACATATAAATAACTGCTTTGAATTACATTTTTCTACTAATATTCTATTATATTCGACATGAAATATCAAAATGACAAAGTTAGATCAATATATGTATTTCGTGGTGAATATCACAGAGTGAAAAACGATATACTAGAATACTTTCATATTTTTTTATGGTATTTTTTTATCGAACACATGCCACAGCACCTTTCTTCTATCTTACTTATTGTATTCAATTTTAATGTTCCGCTCATTTACTGCATATAATTCGTTATATAGGTAATTTTTCTTCAAGAATTTGACAAACAGAAAACAGAAGAGAACATCCATATTCTAACTTTCAATAGCGAAAACTGTTTTTTATTGTCGAAAATTTTTAAACTGGTTAGACTATTTTATCATGTTCAATTAGTTCCAGTCAATTTGTTACTGAAAATTTGTCATGTCAACAATTAGTTGAACGGATCACATATGATAGAGTTATATAAATAAGATAGTTAGAAAATAGATAATCGTAGAAAAAAAATGTGTATGTATGATCTCTCAAGTTCTCTAAAAAATTTTCTTGAAATTTGTTTTTACAAAAATTTAGAAAATGATACATGTTATTGTTCTTTTGAAACGTTTAAGTTTAACTATTTTTTGTTTCTTTTCTAGATGTTTATCAGTGCTCCACTTACGAGCATTTTTGTTACACTTATTCTTTATCTTTTTCAAGGTGTTATTCTCGGTTTATCTACTTCAATTCCTATTTATCTCACATCTGCAGGTGCTACATGGAGAGAACAAAGTGTCTACAATTTCGTTCATTATCCATTTAGCTTCAAATTGATTTGGGCACCAATAATCGATGTTTTTTATATTCGACGTTTTGGAAGACGTCAAACATGGCTATTACCCATACAATTAATACTCGGTATTATTCTGATTATTCTATCGTTCTATATTGATTCATTTATTAGTGGTTTACGTATGATGTCATTGACAATCTTCTTATTCTTCATTGTATTTTTTACTGCTAGTCAAGATGTATGTGTAGATGGATGGGCGCTTACACTTTTTTCAACATCAAATGTTGTTTGGCAATCAACATCACAAACTATTGGACAAACTCTTGGACGTTTTCTTGGATCATCATTTCTTCTTACGTTCGAATCAGCTAATTTTACTAATCGTTACATTCGTGCACCATTATCACTTCAAATGCAGAATACTGGACTGTTCACATTAGCTGAATTTATACGCTACTGGGGAATAGGTTTTCTTATTGTTACTTGTATTGTAGCTTTTCTATTTCGCGAACGAACATCAAATCAAAAGGATGATACGAAAACATTGAAACTTATTCCAACATATTTATCTATTATCAAATTATTTAAGAAGAGATGTATGTTAGAATTAGTATTTATTCTTATTATTTCTCCCTTTGGTTATGCAGCAACTTATTTTATGACTAATATTGCTTTGGTTAGGTAAGAAGATTTTACTAAGAATATTAGAAAGAAAAATTTTCAAGTACATGATATTGTTAACGAACAGAATAATGTTAACATTCTCTCAGTGTTTAAAAGTCACGTATTATATATTCTATTCTAGTAATGGCATGTCCCGTGAAACTCTTGGTCTTATTACAATGCCATTGGTTTTAGTTAAAATTATTGTACCACTCATTCTTTCTCAAACTCATCGACCTTTAATTTGGTTTGCTCGATTATATTTACCTCGGCTATTCATTTGTGTATTAATTGGTATTTATATTCTTTTTACTTCTCAACTTGTCAAATTTCCTTATATATTTTATCCAATTTTGATGACTTTGTTTGTGATAAACGAAACAATTATTTATTTACAACTCGTTGCTCGAGTGGGTTTCTATGCTCAAATTAGTGAACCACGTATTGGTGGAACATATATGACATTAGTAAGCACTCTTGGTAATATTGGTCAAACTTTATCGTCCAGTGCCGTTCTTTTAGTAGCCAGTTGGCTACCGAAGAAACATGCCTACTCAATTGAAGTAGCCGGTTGTACTGTAATCGGCATTGTTTGGTTGTTATTTACTTGGCGCATGATGCGTCGATTACAAGCACTTCCAATTGATGAATGGTATTCAGTAAAAGAAAATGATAAACCAAGAGAAATGAAAGCTCGTGAGGATTCAAACATAATACCAAATACCAATGATGTGGTGTCTAATGTTGGGTAATAACAACAAAATATCGATTTAGCCATATTGTTTCTGTATGCTTCCAATTTTTTGTTTTATATAAGATTTCTTGATAATTTCTTGATGCAAAATATAATATTATAAAAGAACTATGAATAATGTGATGTATTCTTTTTATTATGAATATGAAAGACAAGATCACTTGTCTTTGAAAGTATACATGTATTGTTGAGCAAGAATAGTTGTAACTCTGGAAACTTCAGAATTTGATCGAAAATTGATAATGAAAAGCAGATAAAATTTAGAATTTAAAACCATTTTGAATTCAAGTTCTACTATATCACTACATGTTTAGTATTGCATTGTTTACTACTCTATTTTAGGATCTTTCTTTGATTTTAAATATTAATAATGCTATAGCCAAGTTTTTCATGTTCGAAACCTGTATATATTGAATAATTCAATATTTTGATTTCGCATCAATTTTAAAATGAACAAAATCTAATGATTATGAATCTTTTAATTGAAAAATAAATATTTATTTGTTAATACGATAAAATTTTGGCATACATAGAGTAATTTCAGTCAATAATAATGCTTAACAAACAGTTATGTTCTTTATTCTTTGATATGTGAAATGTAAATATTGAATTATTCGCATGGTCTCTTTATCTTTTCTGTTGCGCACAATTATATACTTATTTTATTTTATATCTTTTCAAACATTTATCAGTAAAACGGCAAGTGCAATAAAAGTTTCTTCTATTGTTTTGGTTACATCGACAGTATGGCCGATAGTACTTTAGCTATTCTCTGTATATCCTATGCTTGTACATTTACTATGTGCCTTGTTAGTCTTTGTATTAGTAAATATTTTAATTCACCACGTCTTTTTCAACTTAATTCAATTGTTAGTTCTACCAGTATAATATTTATATATGTCTTCTTGAAATTGAAATCATCATGGTTTGATACTAACACTCTATGGGCTTTTTCCTTTAGTGGATTGAGTATGTTGACAGCTTTCAAATTTCTCGAATTAGCATTTGCTTATAATTGGACATATACTCGAAAAATGCCATTGAAACTAGTGGCTGTATATTTACTTGCCCTTCCACAAATGCCAGAATCTGAAGCAAAGTTATCAGAATTATCCAAACAACAGTTGCGCCTAGAAGGTATCTTGTTAATTTTACGAGGTATTTGTCAATTTATCATTTTACGAATATTTCTTGACTTGACACCTTTTGAATGGCTTTCGCTTTCTTCATCATTATGTTCTCCAATATTTCGTTTCTTTCGTTATGGATTATGCAGTGTTCTTCTATATTTGTCAATTGATTATGCTACCGGAATTGGTTTCGGCATTTATACTATCCTTTTTAATCTTCAAATTAATCCTGTATATCCTGTGTTTCCTTTCGTTTCAACGAGCCTTCGAGACTTTTGGTCATGTCGTTGGAATAATCTTGTCAAAACCTCGCTGCAACGTATCTCTTTTGTTGTTGTTCCAAAACTGATCAATCCAGTAATGTCGATGAACCATAGAATAAAAGGTCTCTTCGCTTTTGTATTATCAGGTTTTCTGCATGAATACACGTTATGGTTTGCCTCCAGTAAATGGTCTGGTAAAACAATGATTTTTTTCTCATTACACGGTGTTTTAGTTTTATTGGAAATAACTATGAAGTTACCAGTAAAGCCAAATACGTTCCAAGGAAAATTATTGGGATGGATGTGGACAATAGGGATATTGTTAATCACTGCGCCACTTTTCTTCGATCCATTTATTGAAGCTGGAGTTTTTTCTGCTATGAAATAAAAGTTTGAGTAGCTCCTTATAATGACCGACAGCTATCAGCAAAAACATTTTTTCACTTTTTTTTCTAAATATGAATAATAACCTACTTAAAAACTACTGGATTAATTAAAAATAATTTTTCGGAGACGTATTTTGTATTTAGAGCCCTTAAAATAAAATTTGATATGCTAACTTATGTGTTATTGATGAATGTATACGGTAGCTTGTATACTTTCGTTTTTGTTATACAAAATAAATACTTCTAGTCTAACCAGTATTATGGAATATTTTTCATCTGCTATTTCTTTCATTATGTTTTGCTGCTGCAATTCTACGAAGAACAAAAAACGAAAACATCTACAATTCCCTCATGCTAAGGTGATTTTGAAAATTAAGTAAATAAATAGTTTTTCTTTTGCTTTGTTTCAATCAGAAAAAAACTACTTGTTCATTTTTATTTTAATTACTAGGGAAAGATATAATAATGTAAGTAGGTAATATATCGAGGTTTTGCGAATATTTTTCTTATGATATGAATAAGGGATCTTTCAGACAAGTCGTACAGTCATTGCAAAAGAATATTCCATGTAGTTGGTTTCACATATACTTGATTTCTATACTCGAATAACTGGTCGATTTTTGAATGAAAATACTTTGAAGTACTTCGCATCTTATCTTTATCACGAATAATATATTTGCTCAAATATAACTTAAAGAGAACCGTCTATGAGAAAAAGAAACACCTAAATAATAAATGTCGTACTTCTGAACAGTTGATTACGTATATGTTGTCTAATTTATAAAGAGAAGCGTCATTCGAAATATAAAAATCCGACTTTTCATAATTCCTTTGTATTATTATGAAGTATGTGAAAGCCTAGAAAAGAATTCCAGAAAGAATTAAATTTGAATTCATAAATTCTGATTTATACTATTTGTTTCAGGCAGAAAAACCAATGATTGTATACGATTATTCTAGAGAAGTAATAATCCAGTTTGGTTAAGAATTCATTCTGACCTAGGGTAATAAAAATGAATGTATGTTTTATTTAGAAGATAAAGATAAGATAAATAAATACAAATGTTAGTCACATATTGGTAAAATTGTGAATAGTGGTAGTCCAAATCTTTCAATTCAAATTCCTAGTTGTGTTCATTAGTCATTAGCATTACATGAATTGTTACATGTACTTAGCTTTGCTCATGAAAAGACTCGTCCTGATCGTAATACATATGTGCGTATCTATTATAAAAATATTCCAACCGGTAACACAAAAATTGTTTAATGAAACTTCTGTTTAAATATAATTTTTTTTGTAAAGGTCAAGCATATAAGTTCGATAAATTTGCTCAAAGTCAAGTTAACACATTTAATGAAGCCTATGATTACGATAAATAATCTCAACAATTATTAATCTTTTAATGATAAACGTCTATATTTTATTCAAAGGAACAAATATGCATTATCGAAATGATGCTTTTTCATCCAATGATCGTCCAACAATTCAATCTATTCTTTCTGGTTATGAAAATTTAGGAACCTTATATGGATCGTAGTGATAAAATAAGTGATCAAAATATAAGAAAACTCAAAGCATACTATGGATGTTTATAGAATAAATCTAAAATTATTTGTTTAGATAAATAAAAATGAATGAAAAAAAATTGATTGAGAAAAGTTTTTGTTTTGTTCTTAAGCATTCAATACAAGTTTTATTTTCAAAGCAAAAGTAAATCGATATACAAGTCGGATAATATAACACTTTAAGAAATCAAGTTTTATTAAGTATGAATCGTTGGTGGATGTTGTTGATAATATCCATTAGTGTTATGATTTGTATCATATAAATGTGGTGGCCAAAAACCATTCATTGATCCATAATCAAAATACATTGAATTTGAACGAAGAAAATCATTTGTAGGATAAGATGGAGTTGTTGTTGTTGTTGTTGTTGATATCATTGCAGAAGATGTTAGAGTAGGTGGTGAAGACTGTTCATAGATATTAGGTGATGATTTGATCATCGCTTGATTAGTTGTAGTCACATCAACATCTTTACTTTCACATGCAGGTGCTAATGATTGTGTAGCATGTAAAGATGAATCATTATTATTAGTTGATGTTGAACTTGTCTCATCATCAGAATAGATTTCTTCACCATTACAACTCAAATCATTATCATTTGATGGACGAGTACGAGTACCTTGTCTGTTAGCTTTCTTTTCTTTTGAACGTTTATTCTAAGAAATAAATAAACAACTAATTGTATATAGATGATCATAGAAATATTTTAACTCACTTGAAACCATATTTTGACCTTCAAAAAAGAAAAGAAAAAATAAAACAATAACTTCAGTTAATCATCTTAATCAAATATCAATAAATAAAAACAAGAAAAGAATAACCGTAACTTTTATCTATCATCACACATCGATTTAGTCAAGCATTACTTTTCCTTATAGATAGTTTTCATATGTGTATCTCTATCGACTATATTTTGTGTGTGAAGGGCGTATCGGTCATCATGTATTGTCCTTGTCCCATCAATGTAGTATGTATATGTATGTATGGGAGGCAAAGGGAGGAGAGATGTCACACATAGATCTTACAACGAATATACCCGCAGGGTTTATACTGACCATCACATCAATATACATCTTTTTACCTGTCTATATTCTTTCACAATGTGTATTTCTAATAACAGGTTGTCTTGTGAGCATAAAGCGAGAAAAAAAAGGGAACAAAGCATCAATGCGTGCGTGATTTGTATATAAAGAGAAAATGTCTTTGTGTTTAAGAAGAACCGCCCATTTTTACTTTTTCTTTCCTACTGTGAAACATATAGAAATCTGTCCGGTATTCTATGTCAAAAAAAAAAAAAAAGAAAAACTCAAGACGGACACTTAAGTTTATTTTATTTGTATAATAGAAAAAGAAAATAATAAAAGCAAAAGAAACTATTTTAGATATAATGTCAAAATGATTTGACTTCAAAAATAGTCTACACATGAATGAATACGATCTTATTTCGTAGTATCCACAGTGGGCGTTGTCATTTCAGATAAGAACTTTTTTTCTCGCTTTTCTTCAAACATGCCGACCATTTGCCCTCGTCTTTCGATTGTTCACGCAATGCTGAGCTCCCCGCTGATGCGTCTTTGAATTTATATATACATACAATTTGAGCTAGCCGATAATGCATCCCGCCTTCTTTTTTTTCTCGTGACTCGTTTTCTGCAACGAAACTATCAATGAATATAATTGCGCAAATCACTCATAAAAATCAATGACATTCTGTTACTTTTTCCTTATCCTAACTTATACGAAAGACATAGACATTTGCTTGAAGATGGACATCATGAATGATGATCTTCGATTCATCATTTTTATACATAGAGAGAAAAAAAAGACAATAAAATATGTCATGCTTTAGGCTATACATATAACCTTCAATGTGTCAAATTAACATACATAAAACTCACCTGAGTTTGTGTTAGTGCAAGCATAGCTGCTAATTCAGCTCGTTCAGGCAATGCTAAATATTGTGTACGATGAAAACGTTTATTTAATGCTTGCAATTGAAGTGGATTATAGATTGTACGTGGTTTACGAATCTTCTTTCCTTTTGCTGTTAATTTAGGTAATGAAAGTACTGATGATGGTGGTGGTGGAAGAGTTTCATTACCATTTATTACTGCCGAATTGACTGATTTTTCTATTAAAATAAATAAAAAATAAGTATGAGTATGACAAAAAAAAATTAATTTTCGCTATTGGCATTTAGATCGAATGCGGTAAATTAACTCGCTTTGTATGATCGATCATTATCAATCGATCTTTAAAAAGAAAACGAAAAAAAAAAGTTGATAGATAAAAGATCAATGAATACATCAAAGTTTGTTTTTGAAGTTTATTTTAGATGAAAAATATTTTGTTTTTAATCATTAATTAAATAATATTGAAATGTTTATCGTAATGTTTCTATCGATAAATTTGATTCGTTACTTTCGATGATTGATAGAAAACTCGAATTCTTAACTAATGATTTTATGAAAAAATACCCGACTTATCTTTTATATATTAATTGTACTTTTTCATCTGTTATCAGTATTCATATGAATAATATTTTAGCACCTCTCATGGCAAACGATCATTTTCATTGACACACATATACACAGTTGGAAATAATCGTGATTACTTACCTTCCAATGAATTCGCACCATTTTCATCAGGAGAATAAAAAGATTTTAATGGAACTGGTGGTGATGATTGTGAAATTGATAGATTATTTGTTGGTACATAAACAGGACTCATTGTAACATTAACATTCATATTTAAACCATGCATAGCAAATGTTGGATAACCTGTTGGTGAGTGTTGAAGTTTATCATTTGAAAAATGTGTTGTTGAGAACATATGTGGATGTTGATGATAAAGTGGAGGCGATGAAGAATTACCAATACTAGTTATGTTTGATGATGATGGATTTGTATTATATGATGAAAAATCAACATAAGGATTTGATGGTGAATAATGATTTGGAAACATTTCTATTTGTGTATGTGTCTCTGTTTGTGAGAATGCACAATTTGTCTCTAGTCACAAAATGATGGGATGGTTGACCATATTTTTTTTTTCGTTTTCAATCTTTTCTTTCTCTATTGTACATACTCAGTAGGTGGTTGACGCCAATGATTGGTTCATACGAAATATATGTAAGAAAAGAGAGAGAGATGGAGAGAAAACGAAAAAAAAAGGAACATCGAAATTTCTTCTTATTTCTGTTTGAAGATGTCCCCTGTGCCGATGATTGGCGAGACGGAAATGAAACGATCCAACAGATATAATTTGACATGCTTGATGGCGTCAAAACAAGGAAGACGAACAGGAGTATTGCTCGAAGATAATTCAAATTTTTATTTTTTTCGTTCAAAACAAGATAACTGTCATCATTTAAAACTTAAGTGACAATCGATGAGACTATTCATATTTTTAGATTCGTGCGATTTTTCCATTTGCACTCAGCAGGTGATTGACTTCTGTATAGTGTGTTGGTTATCAGAGGTGATACCGATAAAAGAGTAGTAGAATTTTTTCTTTTGTTCCATTATGAAAAGATCATTGCAATTTATATAGTGTTCTTTATCTTATTTAAAATAAATGAAAAATAAAAAAATGAAGATTAGTGTATTCTATCGTGATAAACTTAAGTTTATTTTCTTAAATCAAATAAATTAATGAAAAGAATGTACTAATTTTGAATGATGTGATTCATATGATGATTATAGCATCATCAGAAATTTCACAGCTTGTTCATCATCCACTCAAATCATATATGCTTTATTGACTTGCTTTCCTTATTGAATATGTAACATTGATAAATGCCCACTCATCATCTTCGTATATTAACAGAACGATATGCATACGTATACACACTAGTAGCACTTCATTTACAGTCTATGTTAACTGTTCTAGCGTATATACATACAAATCTAGTGTGTTACCTTATGCAATAGACCTTCGAAATGGTGTGATTTCATTCGAGAGAGAAGGAAAAGAAACTTAGTATGTAATGTTCCCATCATTGATAGAAGAAAAGTGTTGAATTCCTTTTTCTGTCTTGTAACAATCTAATTGAACAAATATAGATTGTGTTCATCGTGCATCTAGATGGTTCATCTTTCTCCTGGTGAGCGCGTGAATGAATAGTATAGTCGATTTTCCCATCGAACTATTTTTTTTTCTTCCTTTTTTTCAATTGATATGTCTATGATTCAGTATAGTTAATTACAAAATAGAAATCAAAATACTAACTAAAAGACAGATTATTAACATATGTTATATACTCAAATGTAAATATACTTATGTGACAAAACAGAACGAAAGTATATTTTATTACCTTACACGTCATTATCGCATATACTAATTCATACTTGTTTGTTTGCCCTTGTAGCTCTTTTTTTTTATATACCTAAATCGTTCATCAAACTCGCAAGTAGAAATCATTGATGATCAAGCAAATGATTTCGATTTATTAGATGATGATAATATGTCTTTTATACATCTATCAGAAATCTAATTTGATATAACAAATCGTCAACATTGAGCTATTGCTCGTGTATCGAAATTTGTTCTTTCTATATGAACTTATGAAAAAAAAATTATCAAGGATTGAATATATTTCATGAGATCGTGCTATTGTTTGGTTATATCATTGTATCGATCTGACTTATGTATAGATATTTATTTGATCGTTTAGCTAAATATAATACCGATCTTCCATGTGATATTGTTGTCTCAATCAATTCTCATTAGAGACAATGATCTCAGATACAGTCAAATATTTTTCCCCAAAACATATTGAATTGGTACTTTTAGTTCATTTTTTCGTTAATCTCGACATCTTTTTCAACTTTATTATCGATATAAACACTTGATGCATACAGATAGATTAAACTATGAATTTCATAAAGCTTATCATTTTCCAGAATAGCCAAAATAGAAAATTTTATCTATAGAAATATACAGTAAAAATCATAATTTTATGCATATAATTTACAAATTTTACTTCATCCTTGAAATAGTAAATGTTATTTTCGTATTCAGTCAAATAAGAGAAGATTTTAACTAAGTATCAAATTAAAGATTTAACTAAAATGATTATCATTAATTGTGTAAATTTGATCAATATGACTTTATTAAAAAAAGGAAATAATAAAACAATAAAAAGAAGAAAAGATGATATTCTCTTTCTTATTTACAACTGCATAAAACCACACTCAAACACGCATATACTGTTATTGAATGCCATAAAATAAAATAAATAAAATAATCACCAACCACCAGCACGTCGACGTCCAGCCGCCTTAGCCGATGCTTTTGTGTCTTCATCATCTTTCTTCTTTTCAGTTTCATCTTTATCATTTGTTTTAGTTGTAGATTCTTCAGTTTTCTTTTCAGTACTAGTTTCTTCCTTTTTATCTGCTTCATCCCATCCACGTCGACGTCGAGATGTTGCAGTTTCTGCTTTTTTATCTTTGTCTTCTGTTTCTTCAGTTTTAGTTGTGGATTCAGTTTTCGAAGTTTCTTCAGCTTTCTTATTATCTTCAGTTTTCTTATTGTCTTCATCCCAACCTCGTCGACGTCGAGATGTTGCAGTTTCTGTCTTTTTCTCTTCTTCTTTGGTTTCTTCATCTTTTTTAGGTTCTTCTTTTTCAGTTTTTGCTTTCGTGTCTTCATCTTTCTTAGTTTCTTCTTTTTCCTTTTTCTCTTTGGTTTCTTCAGCTTTCTCAGTTTCTGCTTTCTCAGTTTTTGCCTTGGTGTCTTCAGTTTTCTTAGGTTCTTCTTTTTCATTTTTTTCTTTGACTTCTTCAGTTTTTTTTTCGTCTTCATTCCAACCACGACGACGACGAGATGATGCTGTTTCAGCCTTTTTATCTAAAGATTAAACCATAGAATGATACTAAATTTGAAAAAATTCGTCCAATCTTATTCTTGTTCATAGTTCTGAATATTCTAGTTTTACTATACAGTAGCAAATCCTTTGCGCATTGCTGTTTTTCTTTTGCTATATAGAGAAATGTTTTTTTTTTCGTTTTTGTGCATTTATATGGGAATATAGACTTTCTTTTTAAAAGACGTACGTTTGAATCAACAATCATTGATTTACCTGCACTTGTAGATGATTTATCATCCTCTTTTGCATCGGATTTTTTCTTTTTTGAATCATCTTCGGATGATTTTTCTTCTTTTTTCTCGTCAGCTGCATCAGATTTTTTTCTTGTTGATGTATCTTCATCTTTTGATGCTGTTTTTTCAGATTCAGTAACCTCTTTTTCGTCAGTTTTTTTACTAGTTGAATCTGATTCTTCAGCATTCCAACCGCGTCTTCGACGTCCAGTTGTTGCTTCATCAGATTTCTTTTCTAGAAATGAAACAAAATAAAATCTATTACCAATATTTATTTTATATTAATTTAACCTGTTGATTTTGTTTCTTCGTCCTTTGCAGATTTGTCTGTGGTTTCTAAAATAAAGAAACAAATAGATTAGTATAGTTCGTTATAATGAGCCAACAAAAATGTTATTTTTTCCTCAACCTTCATCTGATGATTTCGTTGTAGTTTTTGTTGTTTCAGATTTCTTGTCTTCATCTTCATTTTTATCCCAACCACGACGTCGGCCACTTGTCGATTTCTCTTTAGATTCTTTACTATCTGTGGCTTTCTTTGTTTTAGTTTCTTCAGTTGGTTTTTCTTCTTTTTTAGTTTTCTTCTCCTTTTCTTCAGTTGGTTTTTCTTCTTGTTTAGTTTTCTTCTCCTTTTCTTCAGTTGGTTTTTCTTCTTTTTTAGTTTTCTTCTCCTTTTCTTCAGTTGGTTTTTCTTCTTTTTTAGTTTTCTTCTCCTTTTCTTCAGTTTTAGTTTCTTCAGATTCATCTGTTTTTTTCTCTTCTTCTTCTTTTTCACCTTCTAAAATTTAAATTACAAAGAAATCAAATTATCAATTGATTTACCTGCAGGTTTTTCTTCTTCTACATCAGCTTTAGTTTCTTCTGAAAATTAAAAAAAATTTAATAAATTAAATATACTGCTTGCCATGTTATTAATACTTACCTGTTTCTTCTTCGTTTTCATCTTTAGTTTTTTCATCTTCAGCTTCTTCTATAAGACAGATATATATGTAAATATATATATTGATCAATAAATGATGTAAAATAAAGTAATTTTAACTGTTTACCTTTAGTAGTTTCGTCTCCTTCTTCTTTATTTTCTTCATCATCAGCTGTTTTTTCACCATCTTCAGTTTCTTCTTCTTCGCCTTCTTTCTTCTCGGTTTCTTCTCCTTCTTCTCCTTCTTTCTTCTCAGTTTCTCCTTCTTCTTCTTCACCTTCTTTCTTCTCAGTTTCTTCTTCAGCATCTTTTTTCTCAGTATCTTCTTCACCTTCAGGTTTTTCTTCTTCTGTTGCTTCTTCTTTTTCACCATTTTTACTTCGTTCAAGTGCATCAAATTCTTCTTGTGTTATTTGTTTCAAAAATAATAGTAATTTTTCATGTTCAATAGCTTGTAAAAAATCCACATAATCTCCACAACATTCTTCTTCTTTAAAAATTTGTGGTAACAGTATTTTACCTCCTTCAGTTTTTTTACCACTTTCAATAATAAAATCACGTTCTGATTCATGTTCTGGTGCTGCTACATCAATTGCTTCATATTCAAATTTCCAAGAGCTAAGTACAGCAAAAACATGAATTTGTCGTTTACGTATATCTCGACGACCCGTTGTAGAAATAAAGAAGACACGTAAAACCATCACTTGATTTTATATAAACAAATTTTAATTCTGAAGATAGAGAATTGAATTTTTAAAAATAGAATAAGAGAATTTAGTTTGTATTTCTGCGGTGAATGGAATAATAAACAATCTACCAATAGTTAATCATTGAGAAAAAACATCACATTGTACGCGTCTCCAAGCGATTGTTTGTATCGTTGTAGGACGAATCGTGAAGTAAATGGATGGAGAGAAAAAAGAAATAAGACAAAAAAAGCGTACACAAGGAATAGCAATATTGTACTGTTCTGATAGTAGTAGGTCCGTACCCTTCTTGTTCTTTTTCTTCTGCTATTTGTTACCAGATGAAGAGAATACAACCTCTGTTGTTTTCTTCTTCCTTTTTTTCTTCTGTCGTCTAAGTCGATCTAATATCAACAACCCTATTTTTTTTTCTACGTAAAAAAGTCATCGCTACCGAATGATATCCTTCTACAACGGAATCGAATGACTGCACGCATCTATTGCTTACTTATTGTAAACGCATATATATTTTGAGAACAAACTCTTGTATGATGGACAAGATAGTCGAATTATCAATGTATATTTTTGAAAAAAATATACTACGCTATTCTAGAAAGTTATTTAATTCGATAAGGAAATAAAATACTGAGTAGCTTCGATTTTAGAATGCACAAGAAAGAAAAGTCTATTACGTACATCACAAAAGACAATCATGATATTTTCTTTTTTTGAGGGAAAAGACCACATAGAGTTGCATTCAACATTACAAGAAAAATAAATATTATCTCAAGTGATCTGTTGTTTTTTTACCATATCTATATCAGCTAAAAGCCGATGACCAATGCGTCGACAATCATGTTCTATAATCGATTGGAAAAGCATTCTCATACAATCTTGAAGTTTAAATGAAGCTCGATATATTGAAAATTTTGACCGATAGAAATAATTATGCAGAATATATTCTTCAATCTTGTTGGATTTTATTTTCATTGTATTTTTTGTACATTGATAACTATATTATTTTTACTACATAATGGTTATATTATTATTATAAATGATTCATAGTAACAGAACAGTATCGTCGATCTTTCCAGATGATGCATGAAACTTCGAGAATGTACGAAGACATTTGGGATATAGTTAAAAACCACAAGAACTAATGTTTTGCTTTTGATTGCCATATGATATGTAAAAAATAAAATATACTATTTTGTCGAGTAAGCAATTTCATTTCTTTCAGCCACTAACAAACGACAAAAAAAAACAATTCCATTATCATAGAAAATATCCTGATTTCATCAATGATATCAACTTTTGTATTCTTTGACCTGTCTTCTCGTTATAATACATGATAAAAAACGACAGTTTTCAGTTAACACATGTATGTGTCCATGCATTGAAAACTAAAATAATAAATGTAAAAGAAAAAATTCTCTAACTGAATATCAATTATCGAAAACCGACGACATCTTTCTCATGCTAACAATCATCTCTCATATTTTTAAAGACCAATAAAAGATCTCATGAATCACACTATATTGTTATGTTCATCATCATAAAAAAACCTATGAGAGAAGAGCTAGAAATAATTTTATCCACTTAATTTCTTTTGTCATTTTTTATTAATATTAATTCATTGCTATTATCTTTAAATCAATTAATTATGCAGAATGCAAGTGCATCTAATACAACAGCTGACAATCTTGCTGTTCTTATTGATATGGGTTTTTCAGAACAACAATCGAGAGAAGTAAAAAAAAAAACAAAACTTAATCTATTTTAATTATATCAAAAGAAAAACAAAACAAAAACATTTTATTATTTAGGCATTACAACGAGTTGAAAATTTAGAAGATGCTATTGCATTTTTACTTAATGATCAACTTCAACCATCACCACCATCATCACCTGGTGTTTCACAAGTATTTTTCATTTTTAATTAATTAAATAAAAACAAAAAAAAATGTTAATAATTAATAACTTCTAGGCTGATACAAGTGATGATGAAGCATCTTACGCTGCTAATCCACGCTGCATGCAATTTATAATAAATACAGGTCATCCACATTTATCATTTTCAGCTTGTTTATTAAATATAGCTCAAGCATCATTTGACCTTTATGATCAAATTATATCACATCGTTCACAATTATTATCATTTAAAACTTGGCATCATCATGGTGAACTTAAACAATTATTTGAATGTAATAATGGAAATCAATTAAGAGAATTAAATCAACAATTTGAAATCGCATTAAAAGAAAATCAAATATGTACAGCATTGATTAATGATTCAAAATATCATGAACCAGTTTGTTTAGCTGTATTTGGTATTGCATCATATCTTGAACAGTATACATCTCAATTAAAACGTTTAAATATATGTCCAACAAAATTTTTTATTAACGATGATGATGATGATGATGAAAATATAAATAAGGATGGAAATAATAGCGAAACAACAAAAAAACAGTAATGCGGTTTTTTTTGTATATTGTTCATGTAGATATCTATATTTGCAATATTCTTTAAATATACGTTATGTATTGACAGTTCAGTTTTTCTTTTATATTATGTGTATCTTATTGGATAAAATATATTTATGAAAACAAAATTATTACATGAATAACAGATGATTTTTTTTTTCAAATTTATATAATGATGTTCGAAATTGAGCATACATCTAACTGATTATCTTGTATTTCTAATATCTTAAAATGGTTGCAACTAATTGAGTTAATGCTTTTACAAAAATGACATATTGTTGCCATAGTTTTTCAGCCCAAAATATCTTCTTTCTATATCATCTGTTTACTCTGCTAGACTAGAAATATTAAAAATTGATCATGAGTCACAGTCAAAAATGTAATGATTTATTAAGATTCAAAAATTTCATATTTTATCCTTTTTTTGATCAAAAAGTGCATTTTCAACAATGTTTTGACTTAAAAAGTAAGTGAAATTTCGTTATGCCATTTTTCAAATTTGTCGTTCTGCGGAAGAAGACGAAATGCGCAGTATATTCAGTCATTTTTGCATGTGATGTATGATTAATTTTGAGCGCTACTGTATGTGCTGATTTTCAAGTTATGATTTTTCAATTGTTAAAATAGAAACACAGAATATGAAGGATGTTTTTTTTCAACAAATCAATTGAATGAAAGTTTTTCCTAATGTTCTAGTACTTTCGTATCAAGTAACAATGTCTACAGTGATTGTTTATTAAGGAAAAAGTTTACATTCTAATACACCAAAACATCTGATGAAAACAGGTATTTCACCTTGAGTTGTCTAGATGAGTAATTGCTTTATAATTGAAACCATCAGTTGCAGTTAAAACTATACGATAATGATTCATTGCATAGTTGAGAAGAAGAGTGCAGTAGTCATTTATGATGTTTTTTATTAAGAGAAAGTAATGTTTAAAAGTCATCAGAGTTATACACATCGAAATCGTTCAACAACAATCATAGGCGATCCAACGTCTTATATTGAGGTGTGTGACAATAGATTGTAATATCTTTTTATTACGAACTCCACACAACGTCTACATGTCATCCATTTTAAATAATACAAAGACTATATATAGAAAAAAAATTATTTCTTTTTGCAATGAATTCTATTGCTATTTTATTCAAATCAATTTAATTCATCCATGGAAAGTCTTTGTTGAAATTATTCTCTAGAATGAATTTAGATGTTTCATGTAAATTCATTTGCTATGCTTCTGAAATTCTTTTACTACTTATTACAGCATTTTATATTAAAGTGTGTTTCAGATATATAAATATATCCCGTTAATAATCTTATATTCATTTCATACAATGCATCTTATTCAAATGAACTAAATTCTTACGACCTCTACTAAATCATCAATGAAAATCTTGAACAAACAACTAATGTCATCTATTAAAACTTGTTATTCGAATGTTGTTACTTAGATGGGGTAAAACATGGACTTTTCCATATTGTCGTGATTGTGTTTAGATACAAATTCTTTATTTAACGTTAAAATTATTTCGGATAATATGTTTTTTGGACGATCATCTGATAAACAACCAGCTGCACCTGCTGCATCTGCCGGTCCTAGCTTTGAAGATCAACTACCTACTGTAGCCTGAAAAATTTTCAATTTTTTCTTAAAACTTTTCGTGTTGTTTTTTTTTTCTCCAAATTTAGTTACGAGAATTTCTCCGTGAATATAATCGTATTGCTGAAGTCTGTTTCAATGACTGTATCAATGATTTTACAGGTCGAACAACAACAGCATCTGAAGTGTGTTATTAGAATTCACATTGTATATAAATTTTATTTATTTATTTAGATTTCATGTGTTAATAATTGTTTGGAAAAATTTCTTAAAGTAACACAACGTATTTCACAACGTTTTCAAGAACAACAAATGTTAATGAATGAAAATCAAGTTGTTGCCGGAAAGGCTAAAGGTCTTTTTCAATAAATATTTGCTTTTATTAAATTTTGTTTTATACGTGATGATAATGATGTTATACTTGAAGTTATTGATCGATCAAATGAACGCGATTCTTTTAAATTTTCTAAAAAGCAAAACAAAGATTGAACTAGATAGTTTTTATGTTATAAATCCTTACCAGAATTTTGTTGTGTATTTTCTTCACCATCATTATGTCGAATAATAGGAGATATTTGATGATCCTGATTAAAATGAATAGAATTACAAAAGAATATCGATTAAGAAAACTTACATTGTCATCAATTGATTCTGTTGTAATAGTTTTTACAGTTTTTGATACTAAATCAAATACATATTGAAGACGTTCAATAAAATCAATTGGTGGTTCGATAGTGAACTAAATGAAATTTTGACAAATAGATTTCAATGTTTTTTAAAAGAAAAAAAACTGTACCTGTGTACCAATATGTTCACAAAGAACTTTGGATAAGACTAAAAGAAAATCATTAATTTGACGTAAAATACGATTTTGATCTTCAACTGTATCATTTATATAGAATGATTCTAAGTTTTGTCGTTGTTCAATCATTGTATTTAAAATTTTATGACGACTATCGAAAAAAAAATTGCTTGTTGTATATTATTAAAATTAACTTACGTATGATTTTTAAGATTTATAGACATTTCTATTAATTTTAAAAGTTTATTCATTCGATTAATTTGTTGATTAAGTTGTTCTTTTTCTTCCATCATTCGATTTGTCATTGTTAACACTACAATTCAAAATTATTATTATTATTTCTAATTTAATCATCTTTTTGTAAATTCATACTAGCAACAATTTTAGCAGATACTTCATTGGTCACTGTTTTTAATTGTTTAGAATTCTATTCGTGAACAAAAATAAAAAATCTTATCTCATAAAAGTTTAAGCTTACAGCAATATCAATTGGAAATCCAGCCATAATAATATTATAAAATTGATCATACATACAACGAACTTGAACTATTTCATCACTATTCATCATAGTTAAATTTTTTTGTTGTAAATTTTTTAGTGGATCAGTGTCATTATTAAATTTTCGTGTTTCAAATGAAGTGGTCATCTCATTTAGAGCTATAAACAATAAAAACAACAAAACATTTCACTTTCCAAAATACAAATTAAAAAAAAATGTTTTCAATCAAAATATTGGAAATATATGTTCTCGATTTTTTTTTCACATCTTAAGGATTTAATGAAGAGTTTATCTCTTATTCATGATCTAATCAGTCAAACCTAGACATGTGCGGGACCAAAACTCAAGCTTATAGTAAAATGCTCCAAAGTTTTAAGCAAATTATTCTATAAATCATACAAAATGAGAACATAATTCAAGAGAGATGATCTAGAACAATACTAGCCATCGACTAAATCTATAAAAAAAAAACAAGAATATGGAAGAAGTATTGTAGATGTGATACCAGTAAATTCTGGCATAGCTTTCTCTAAACCAAGGACGTAGACCTAAAAACTTGATCTTGTACATCTCTAATCATATGTCAGTAGAGTTGCACATAAGCATGACTTCATACTTTTGCTTTAGAATTTCACATGAGAGTTTCTGTTCAGTAAAATACATGCTAAATATCGATATTGTTACTCCTGTTACCCATCATTTGTACTTGATATTGATCTTCCAATTGTTCACTGACGGAGGCCATCGCTTGTTCATGTATAGCACGTCGTTGTCGGCTCTATAAAATACAATAATTAAAATTTAATTGTTTTTTTTTAAATTGACTTGAGCTTCAGTATGATCTAATAACTGTTGATAAACATTCTAATATAAAAAGAAAAAAGAAAGGATGATTATTGAAACGATTGATATATAAAAATGAATCCTACTAAACGTCGTTTATTTTCATCAACAATATCCGTAAATTCTTTCTTAAGAAGCATTCTTTGATGAAATTTGTGTCCAATATCTTTGTGTACATTTGGTAATTCTTTTCGAAGTAAATCTAAGTCCTAATATTGAATCACATAGATAGGTAGATATATATTATCGTTAAATGCAAAAATTACACATTGTAAATGTTGTTTACAAAGATTCAATGTTTTATTAATTAATTTAACGCTTTTTAGTCGATCTTGTTTTTCACGAATACGACGTGTAACAATTTTAGTATCCTAAAGTTAGTAATTTATCTTGCAGAAAAAGAAATATCTATATAATCTATTGCTTACTTGAATTTGTTTGATAGGTAATGACAGTAATTTATTATCGTTTTCATCATAACGTGATTGATCACGTAAAGATTCAAGACGATTGAGTAAATGTTGCTGAATAAATAAAAGTTCATTATGTTGTTGCATAGCTCGATTTCGTTTATTGTGTATGGAATCCATTTCTTCCTATTATATTTTATTTAGATCATATTATATGAATAAATATTGCGAACCTTACAACAGTCGTCATATTGATTTTTGCAAATTGATTGATGATTATCTTATGATGAAATGTTAAAAATAGAATTTCAATAAAATAAAATATAAAACCTTTTCTGAAGGAATGATCAATTTTTTTCTTAAATCATTATTAAATAATTCTGTATCATATCGTTCTGTTTTAACATCGGTCAATCGATCTGTTTGATCACCCAATAAACAATATTCAACATTTTCTTTAAATACAAATAATTATAGATTATCTGTAAATAAATATCAAAATATTCACTGAGCCATGCAACACGATTTCGTAGATCGAATACTCGATCGACAATATCTATTGATGGTTTCTGTATACGAGTATCACATCTAGAACAAGATCAATAAAATTAAAGAAAAACAATGTTTTTGTCACTCACCCAAGACGTGGCATAGTAATTAAAAGCAAAAGAAAACTAAAATAATTCTTCGATTAAATAAGTTTCCATGGCTTTTGATTAAAATACTATTATAATCTCTTTATTTTTAATAACATACAAGAACTACACAACAACAAAATCATAATTCTATTAATGCTTTAGAAATAGAATTTAAAAAAATCCGATTCAAAGATCTTAAAAAGACTATAGGACAATCGACTGATGATGGTTTTTCATCGTAGAGCATTGTTCCGAGAGCATATGATTACACAAACACAAAAATTAATTTAAAACTAGTAGTGTTGTACGGATAGTAAAATCATATGTTATTTATAATAGTTGACGAAATGATCATGTTCAAATGTAACCCAATTTGACTGATACTCAAAAAAAAGAAAAAACAATAAATAAAGAAGTCCTTTATATATTAGTGCTAATATTGTTGAGAAAAGAAAAGATTGTTCAAGTTTTTTTTGAATAAAAAATATTTCACGTCGAGCTTCAAGTACTAGTTTATAAGAAGAAAATGAATAAAAAAGAAATGTAAACTCTATAGAACTCAGTTAAATTTTTGGAGAATATTTTGATCAAAGTCTATGAAATACTTATTAAAAAGAACGTCAGCTCTGATAATTAGCGCTGTTATCTTTTTTATTTCTATTTATTACTTGACAACATTAAAATTTCATATTATTAGTTTCTATTTGTGTTTGTGTTTATTCGAATTTTTATACGATATTCAAAAAGAAAATAAATTTATTAACACAAAGTAAACTGATATAATATGTTAATAAGTAATTTAATCGTAAAATTTTAATTAGTATGCCTTCAAAACGACAAAGAAATGAAAAAACTACACCACAACATCAAAATATTAGTGATTTAGTAAATACAACTTATTTTTCTTTCTACTTCATATTAAATTGTGTTTTGTTATATTCAAGGAAAATAATATTCATCGTGGTATAACAACTGGAATCGATAAAAGTATGCAATAGAAAATTAGTTAAGTTTACAAATAATTTAATATTCTAGTTGAAAAAAATATAAAACAAACTGAGGCAAATGTAGAACAAAAAATACAACAAGGTCAAAACGGATTAGAACATAGTACGAATATCAAAATATAAATTGAAATGAAATTTCCTTTTTTTACTTTCAGCAGCTGACTCAATCAAAGGAGCAAAAAACGACGTCGAAAAGGCTTTACAGACAAGTACGTATATCCTATGAAAGCGGAATTGGTTTTGAAATATTTCTTTTTATTTACGATAGATGTGAATGAAATTAATAACGCTGGAAAAAACGCGACGAAAGGAGCAAAGGAAGTCATTGATAAAAGTAAGTATATCCATGTCTAGATGAATTCAAGTAATTTATTGCTCGAGAATCATTCTCTTGTTGATGAATTATATATTCGTTTACGATTTAGTTCTTCAAAATAGAGAGTTTTTCTTATTTGTAAATCTTCGGATTATTAACAAGCAATAAGTTTTCTGATGATCATAATATAGATTTATTGAAATTTGTAACTTAACTCTATAATTTGTTTAGCTGTTGAAGACATCAAAGACAGAGCTAATCAAACCAAAGATGTTGTTGCTGATAAAGCTACTATAGCCAAGGATAAACTCAATAGCGGAACTCAGAATGTCAAAGATAATGTTACAAAAGGAGGTAAGTAGAATTCTTTAGAAGGAAGAATCTTAAATATATATAGCCATGTAGAAATAAATCTTCTGAGTAGCGTTATTCCAGAAGACAAATGTCATTTATTGTTTTTGTCTTTTGGTTTACAAATTCTACAATAGAAATCAATATGTAACTGAAATGTATCTGCTCTGTGTTCAGCAGTCAAAAGATAGATAGATAGATAGCCAATACCGGTAGATCAGTTTAGGCGATGAACAAACGGAAGTTAAAAATATAAAAAAAACTGAAAATTTACAGGGACAAAACACAAACATAAAACACAAAAGAGAGAGACTAAGACGACGACAAGGACATTTACACATGTACAAGACAAAGCATACAACAACATAATACATATAAATAAATAATAAACCAGAGTAACTTGGAATCTTAGACTAGAAAGGCGTGTCTCTAGAAGAAAAGATTGTTGGCGTCGACCATCAGTCTGTCACCTCCGGACCACAATCGGATCCGGTTTCGGTGACAGTCATCATAAAACACAACGATCTAACTCAGATTACGGATCTTTAAATCTGAACTCCTTGTTCATTTAACCATGCTTTAGCGCATGATTTGACATGCATTGTAGTACCTTGTGCTTTTAATATTTTTTTTGGCACATGTTATTTGGACATATATATTTGTTTTTATCTGTTTTTATTAGTAAATTTATTATTTTTATTTTTATCTTTTGTGTGGTAGTGTTCTTATTTGTTGTTGATGCATCTCATTTATTATAGTATCAGCTGATGCCTCCGTTGATCGTTTTTGTATGCATATTCGTTTATGTATGTTCATACCTCGTTTATTTTTAAACGTTCGCCCACATAGTGAGCATGTAGCATCATCATTTATTACTGTTGTTGTAATTGGAGGACTATTCATTTTTTTATTACAATCAAGAAGTTTTTCATCAGCCCGACGTTTTGCTCTTTTTTTATGCTCATGTATGACATGTGTTGCATCCGATCGGGCTGTTGTAGACTTAACTTCTTTATTGATTGTTTTACGCCACTTCTCCTTATCTTGGACTTCTCGTCTCCAATTTTTTATATCACATATTGTGAGATCTTTAGTTTATTTTGTCTCGCCATCTTAATTTTACATCATGTGGAGATCTCTTCGTATACAGATACGAAGAGAAAAGGACCCTTTTCGACATCATCGGATGATTTTCCTGATTGTCCATTCGATTGACATGACAGAACCATCTTAGCCTATTTCTTCTCAGAATTTTTTCGAAAGGTGGTTGACCGATCAGCTGAAGAATCAGATCATTTCTCATTCGGTCACCAAGACACACACCCAACAACGTTCGAAGACATTTCATGTAAAATGTATTCAGTCGTTGTTCTTCAACAGCTTTTAGACACCATACTTCGCTCCCATACAACAGAACTGGCAGAATACATGCTTTAAATATTCTGACTTTTGCCTGAATCGATATGCATTTTCGGTACCATACAACCCGCCGAAGTGAGTTAAAAGCATTAGAAGCTTTTCCTAAGCGAACTTCTATTNTTGCGGTTCAGGACCTCAGTGGTCAAATCCGCTAATAAAGCTCTTTTTCATTCATTCATTCATTGTATGTAATTAAAATAGAAATGAGACGGATATATTTGTGAATCAATTTTTTTATTAAAACCGGATTATTTACATTGTGCAAAGAGCACTGGGAGAAAAGCATTGTCCTGTAGTTTAATGCATTGTTAGTTGTACATCAATATTAAGTTATTGTCGTCATGTTCATCGTAACTATCTTTGGAGCTGTTTTTATGCTAATTTGTTTTCGAAAGAATAATGAGAAATTCCTGAAAAGTAAACCTAAGAGGTTTCACATAGCTTCGTACGATGTAAGAATGAATAAGAACATAATAATCAGTTGGATATTCGTTTTAGATCAATCCATTCACCGTGTTGCAGACTGCCTTGAATCGAAGATATCGTGGGTAGCACAATATAATTACGAAAAATTAGAATTTTCATGAACTGTGCCGAAAACTTTCCATGCGTTCTTTAAGAGAAGAGGTATTTCGCAAAATAAAGGACTATCTCATCCACTTTCCTATAACATGGCCATCTGCAAGCCACTCTGATTTATTAACTACCAACAACATTTAACTTATGAATTTGGTAATTTTTCGAGATGTTGCTCTAGTTATACCGTCTAGAAACAAAGACTTTTTATCAAATACTACGTAAGATAGTTTACATTGAAAAATCACGATGATCGATTGTGTAATGGGAGAAGAGAATAAAAAATACCCAGAGATGATCGACTCGTTTAGTCTTCAACACAAGCATACTATATAGATCATGTTTATGATATTATCCTCATTTAAGTTGTTCAGCTTGGTATTGAACAATAAACTAGTGACATCTATAAGAGTTAATAAAATTTAAAAAAAATTATTTAATCAAAACTATTCATTTATTTATATTACTTTTAATTAAAATGAGTAAGTGTTAGAGAAATGAGTTCAAATATGAATCATAATCATTATCATACTTATCACAACTATGAGTCACAATATTAACTGACGTATACCTCACTCATTTGGATTAGTTTTTAAGTTAATGTTTTCCATAGCAGGTGCACCAAGCAGAAGTAAAAGGTATAGAGCATTTGCTACTTTAGAAATATACGCTGTTTTACACGTTTCTCAGAAAATCACAGCGTATTATGTACACTTTGCAGAACAAATATACATTTCGATTCCATATCCTTAAAGACTGCACAGAGTATTGACTTGAAGCTCATCTTTGTTAGATAAATTAGTGTTCATCAGAGATAAAATCAACTCGATTTCGACTTGAGCCGAATCGAAATTGGTTCGGTTGGAACTTTTTGAAAAGCTTGATCATATCAAGTTAATTCTGAAAACTCACGCATCGACACCATTTCTAGCGTTTATTTTCTTGTAAACATGTCAGATGATAAAATTAGTACGTGTACTGACCGCTTATTGGTTTCCAAAGCATCACCTTATATCTGCCATGAAAGAAAAATACGAGCATATATATATTTTTAGGCTCTGAAAAACTAGTTTTTTCTACATTTTGTTGACAAAAAAAGCAGTGTACATATGCACATCATTCGTATAAGTGTACGATAACACATCGTTTTATACTTCCATTAGAAATCTTGTTTCGAGTGAATTGTTGATTGTTTATCAACATAAACTTATCCATTAATAGCAATGAAGAAAACGATTAATTGAGATATATCTCTCGTCATAAAATTCTGTTTTGTTTTACTGATATGCTTCACAAAAGTAGTATACTTTTAATGTTTATTAAAAATAATGAGAATGATTATTAAGTTTTAGTTGTTGATTCTTCTGATCTGATCTTAACTGAATAGTTTTCAATGATTCACTCAAAGATCAGTCTAAAACAAAGAAGCATTATCATCTATTCTGTATTTAGCATATTTATTGGTAGAAAAAAAAGTATAATAGAATATTTCATTGTATTGTATCTACTATTGAACTACACTGTAAAACAATTGATGATATTGCTGATAGAATATTGTGGTTGGGTGAGTTTTTCTAGTAATATCAAAATCCGAGATATTTGTATCTTATATGGAAACTTCATTTTAAAAGAAAAATTGATAGGACCTTTTCAAGAAAGCGAAGGAAATACTTTAGTGAAATTTTTGTAGAACATGCAGAAATATTTACAAGAACTAAATTTTATTTTCATACTGATTAGAGCTAAGACAACTTTGAGAGCGATTTTATTATTATATTGAAAAAGCACACTAAAATATACAAAAAATAAATTTTAGTTTCTTTATTATGAAACTTTTGATATATGACATAATATAAATCAATGTAAGCTTGATTGAATTATCCAGTGTTTTACGGTAATTAATTTTGTGTTACTAATCTTCTTGATTTCTTTTCTTTTTTATGTCTTCCTGTAAGAAATAATATTGTTAGATGATGACAACACTTTTAATAGTAAATTGTCTTAAAGTCTAACAATTTTTCTTATTAAATTTCAGATAAATTTCTTTTTTTTAACAATACATTTTTCTATCGACGAACGATAAATCAAGCTTATTCATCATGTCCGGTATGTATTGTATTTTTTTTCTTAGCTTTAAAACAAAAATTTTACATAACTTTTTTTCGTTATAGATAAACTGGCATTTCAATTTAAAATGCAAACAAAAATGCTCGAACGACAATCGGCTTCACATGATAAACAGGAAAAAGTCGAACGTGAAAAAGTTAAAAAAGCCTTAATGAAAGGCAATATTGAAGCAGCTAAAATCCATGCTGAAAATGCTATTCGACATCATAGTGAATCATTAAATTGTAAACGAATGGCTGCTCGTGTTGATGGTGTACAAGCACGTGTAGCTAATTCAGCAGCACAAAGACAAGTAAATTTACAATTTCTAATAAACTTATATTAGATGTATATATTTTTTTTACATATGTTTTTAGATGGCAGCAAGTCTTAAGCAAACAGTTACATTAATGTCAAAAGTGACTGCAAATATGCCATTGACTGAAACGTCAAAATTAATGGATAGTTTAGAGAAAAATTTTGAAGATCTTGAAGTGAAAACAAAAGTTATGGATGATGCTATGCAAAATGCTACTACTGTACAACAACCAGTCGATCAAGTTGCTAATCTTATGCAAGAAATGGCTGATGAAGCAGGAATTGAACTTAATCTTAATATGCCAACTGCACCAGCCATGAGTACCTCTGTTGCTCTTAAAGAACAAGTATGATATTTTTATTTTAACTTTGTAATTTATTTAACCATGTTTCTGTATGGCTCTTTTTCAGGACGAATTAAGTCAACGATTAGCAAAATTACGGGAATCTTAAAAAGATATCAATATGTAAAAATTATTCGATACTTGCTGTTGTCACAAAAATACCAGAAAAAACAAACTTAGTCGCATTATTTCATTATCTTTACTTTCTTTTTTTTTATCCTTTATTAATACAAGCTTATCCTATGTATATAAAAAACTATGTGTGTACACCTATTTTTTTTTCTACATCGAGATTTACTTTTCTTTTTGTTTAAAAAAGCAATCGTTTATTTATCCAACAATGTATCAATATCAAACATTTGATCAACAGAACCTGTTTAACCTTGAGTTTGAATCGTGCCTGAGAAGAAATATTTTGTTATATGCACTTTTATTTATGTATTAGTATAACTCGAGAACCTCTATTAATCATGCCTAAATCAATATGCATCAACATCATATAATGTATTCTGCGATTGGTCTGTGTATTTCATTTTGAAGTAAAGAAGAAAAAGAGAGAAACGAATCCTATATCACGGTAACGAGAGAGAAAAAGTTGTTTTTTCTGCTTTTGACTAAAAATATTGTTTTTTCGTATTTGCGTATATTGCAGCTGTCTCATTTTCACTCATATGACAGAGTATTAAAAAAGAACACAGTCAAAAATTCGTCAGCAAGAATCTGAAGAGAAAAACCTCAAATGATATAGACGAGATAAGTATGAGTAGTAGCCCACAAGAGGAAGATTATCTTGATCAATTGAATCGTGTATTTCCGTGGCATCGACCATTTACAGCAAATGAACAAATTATAATTGTACTTTTTGTTGCTGCAGTTGTTTCAATCATTGGTTGTACATTGCTTTGTCTTATTTGTTCACGATCTCCTTTACGACGACGATATTATGCAAAAAAGAAATTAGGTAGGTGTTGATAATAAATATGGTATAATGAAATAAAGTTATGAATCATTCTTATTTCTATCAAGATAAAGAACGACGTATTTTAATTCCTGCAACATCAAAACAAGATACACTTGTACTCCCATCAACACCACCATATTATGAATCAATTGTTAAAACAGATGATATGACTATTTTTAACAAATTAAGCAAATGTCAATATCTGAATTTCGGAAGAAAATTATCCAATGGAACAGTATCGGACACTGATTGTGCACAATCAAGCACTGTAAGCGTCTTTTCTGAATTTCACTAGTACATAGAGAGAAATTTTTTTTTTAAATATACGTATAATGAAACAGTTTCAGCGATAACCAATGTTATTTATCAAAATATTCCTTTGACATTATTTTATTCAGAGTACTGATCATGCATCATCATTAAGTGGAAAAATCACTCGTACTCAATCGACTCGTTCATCTTTTTCGAACGGTGATACACTTGTAACAACAATTACTACTTATCCATCACCTCCATATGCTCAAGTCAATGTTGAACTTAATATTGATACAACAAAAAATATATTAGCTATTCATTTAACAAATGGTCAACATTTTTCACTTCATCCAGCATTTGATGAACAAGCGGAATTTTTTATTCATGTACAATTATTAAATAATAAAATATTAAAAAAATTTCATGACTCAAGAACAAAATGTCGATCAAGTTTACAATTAAGTACATGGAAAAAACAACAAGAAAAAACAACTAAGTTAGATATAGATTCTTGATTGATTGATATAATATTAATTATGTATATCTTTTAGAAAGTTATCACGAACATCATCAGATACATTATTATGTCATGAATATTTACTCTTCGAATTTAATAAGGATAGTATTAAATCAACATCTCTTCGTTTTTTACTTTTTTGTATTGATCGATCTGGTATTCATGATTTAATGTTTGAAGCTGTAATTCCTTTAAATTCATCAATGATACCTCATTATCAACAAATAATTGAATTTAAAAATTTACCTGAAGTATGAAAGAATATTTTTAATACTTCCAAAGAAACATTTGTTTTCTTTTTTGTACAATAGATTACTTTCGGAGAAATACTTCTTGGCATGAGTTATCTTCCAACTGCCGAAAGATTTACAATTAAGGTTGAAAAATTACGTTATCTGTGTAAAATAGAAAAAGATAAAAAAATCGGTATGATTTTTCAACAAAAAACATTCAGATTATCAAAGATAAAAGGATTAGTTGAGTTGAAGAATATGAAGAGGAATATAAAGTCCAAATGAAAATTTTTTTGAAATTATGAATAAGACATGAATAATTGAGGTTTTTGATTTAATAGAACAAGTATTTTTAATTTGAACGACAAAGTAAACATGCAAAACAAAACATTCATTATTAATTAGCAAACACAGTCATAGAATTTTGATAGTTTCTCAAACAAATTAAATTTGGAGAAAAAGAAAAGTTCTACAAATGAATAGATTTTTCATCTTTTATAACTAAAATACAATAGGTAATAGAGTAAATCAAAATAGTTTTATTTTCAAGGTTGCAATATTAACTAAATCTTTCTTTTCAATAGATGCTCGATTAATAGTAATATTTTTTCATCATGGTCGTCGTTTTTTTCAAAAGAAAATATCGTCTATTATTTCTGATGAATCACTAACAACAAAAACTAATGTCCATGAAATAAACGAAATTATCATGCAAAATATCCCGCAACATGATATTCAATCAATATATGTACATTTTGAACTCATTATTCGTATATTACATTCAAAAGATGAATCAATAATATCTGGTGGTTCAATACTTCTTGGTGAACATACACAATATGGAAATGAATGGCTAAAAATGCTTGAACAGCCTCGACAAATTCATCTTGGATGGTATCAATTTTATGGATAATATATTAAATCTAGTTTTTTTTTCGTCTCCTTAACTCTTTTTTTCTCAAATACACCAATCAAGCAACTCGTTTTGCTGTGACAACAATGTTCGAAGAACGTCGCCGTCTTGATATGGACGATAAATTTGTATTATTTCTAACTGTAGCTAATGTACTTCGATGTGGAATCACAGAATTTTTCTTTTGTGAATGTTGACCGAATGATGCAGTAGTATTGTTTTTAACTGATGAACGATACGATGGCGATATTTGATCAGTAACCATCTGGGACAAATAAAATGTAAAAAGAAAATAAAGAAAATAAAAATCTATACATCTGTATTTCATTTTTATTCTTTTTTGGAATTGAAAATAAAAGAAAAATAGAAAGGACAAAAATGTAAGAGACAATTTTATAAAAGAAAACAAAGGAGATTTTTTGTTTTTTTTTCAAGTACCAAAAAGAATTAAATATAATAGAGTCATGTGGATTATTGAACTACCTGAAATAAGTCTACAAGAGCATTGAGCGTTAAAGCTGGTCGATTCTGTCGTGCAGTAGATATAGGTGGAAGACACGATGATACAGGTTGCTTTGATGATGCCAAAGATTCCAAATGAAATGTTTGGTCATCTGATTCACTAGTAACAAATGATTCAGGTATATCACCTTCTGGTAATTGATCAATCATTTCATTTATTGACATGGATGATTTTGCATTTAAACCAGATATAGTTGTCATCGATAAAATTGAATCACGACGAATTGGTATATTTGTTGATAATAATAATGGTGAATAATAAATTTGTTTTAATTTTTTAACTTTATTTATTTTACCTTCTGTCATTGCATTATCAATTTCTTGTCGAAGTTTATCACGTATAAGTAAACGATGTTCTTCAATACCAGCTACTTCCCATTCATCTGCATTTCGATGTGTTGGTAAATCGCATTGTTGTCGACTTGCATGTCCTTTATTTGAAAGTATTTGTGTCATATCACGTAAATGAAGTTTTATAGCTAATAAGTATGGTGTTAAACCATTTTTATCTGGTATATCAACAGAAATTCCATAATGATTCATAACAATAATAAGTGCCTCAAGTATTGATACATTATTTGATTCAACTGCTTGATGTAATATTGTACGACCATATACATCTAATGAATGCCAATCAATTTCACCACCAGCATTAGCAAGCAAAAGTTGAACAGAATCAATTTGTTGTCGAGCAATAGCTTCATGTAACGGTGTATAATTATATTTTTTTTCTTTTTGTAATGCATCAATACCATGATCTAAACAAAATCTAATCATACGACGACGTTTACGTGTATCAGGAATATCAAGTGCAATAAATAAACCATTACGACCATCTTTTGTTATTACATTTAAATTATAGTTATGACGAATGTACAATGCAAGTTGCTTATATTGTGATTGACGTATAGCATTGAGCACTTTGGATTCTAATAGTTGCATCGTATTGACGTACACACAAACAGCACAAATACGCTTTGATCCAATGATAATGATTTCTTTTTTCCTCCTTTTCAAATGGCACTTTTAAGGCACAAAAACGTTTATAATGTTTGTATGTGTTGTTGCTGCGCAAACATACGATCGAGTTCCGTAATAACACTTTGAAAAAAATAAGTAGAAAAATAAGCGAAGGCAAATGAGAGAGAGAGCCAAAATTTTGATGCTTGCATGATGACTGACTAGGCGTGTTGATTTCTTTTGATTTCGAAGGGCGACTGATGATTGATTGGCATAAACAGCAGCGGTATATTTTATTATTTCTTTTTATGTACTTTCTCGATTGTCGGCATCAATTTGTCTATTTCGTTTTCGAACTGACGTCAATTAAAATGTCGAGTGCTTGCGATTATTTTTCATCTGAGAATACATTTTAAAATAAGTTTTTACGTATTTTTCTTTATACACCATACATAACAAAAGAAATATTAAATAAGAAAATCAAAATGTTTTCTTTTTTCTTCTAAATTCTTTTTGAATAATAAGGTAAATTTATACATTAATAGAAATAATTCTTTTTATCTTAAAAATCAATTGTTGAAGTTCAAGATAAATAAAAAAAACATCATGTCACATAGGTTACATAAGTACTTAATCTTATTCAGTTGACGTTTACAATTTCATATAAGTATCGATAAAAAAGAAAATAAGCGATCGAGAAATTATTTTCTTATGTGTTAAATGCAGGATTGACATAAAATTTTGATTC